CCTTCCTTCCTTCCTTCCTTCCTTCCTTCCTTCCTTCCTTCCTTCCTGCTATTGCCTTTCTTCTGGGCTGTTCTTATTCTATGATACTGTAGAACTGCGGTTGCTCTGAGCATCCTTTTGTTTCTAAGCTGCCTCATTTGTTTCTGTTGATTGCATGTATTTTTTTTAAGACCCTGCACAAAGATTAAAAAGCACAGTCCCTGTCTGCAGGCTTATTCTCTGATAGGCAGAGTACAATAGAACAGGGCCAAACTGGGAGAATCCCACCCCTGTGTGCATGTGTATGTGTGTGTTTCAGGTGGGTTTCCTAGCTTTAGAAGGAGATAGGGAAGGAGGAAGGGACAGAAAGAGAGAGAGAGAAAGAGGGAGAAAGGGAGGGGGAGAGAGAAAGAGAGGGGGATACAGAAAGAGAGAGAGAAAGACAGGGAAAGAGAGAGAGGGGAGAGAGAGAAAAAGTGAGAGAGAAAGAGAGAAGGAAAATACAAGAAAGAAAAGAAAGAGAAACAGAGGGAAAGAAAGAAAAAGGGAGAGAGAAAGGAAGTGAAAGGAAGAAAAGGGGATGGAAGGAAGGGGCAGAAAGAAAGGGAAAGAAAGAGGGAGAGAGGAGAAAGTAAATGAGATATATGGATGGATAGATAAATACGTGGAAGGAGGGAGGGAGGGAGAGAGAAAAAAAGGAGAGGAAGGAAGGACATAAACCCTGGCTTCAGAAGACTTTGAAGCAGCACAGCAATCTAAGGCTGGCCTGCAAGGGATCTCGGAGGTCATCTAGTCCAACCCCCTGCTCCAGCAGGAGATCCTTACAGAATCAAAGAATAGCAGGGTTAGAAGGGTGTGTGTGCAGGGGTGGGTTTCTACCGGTTCGCACGGTTCTATAGAACCGGTTGTTAACGTCACCGGTAGTTCTAAGAACTGCTAAAACTGACCCCTGCTTGGCCCCGCCCCTCTCCACCACTCCTAAGGGCCAAAAACTGGTTTTTATTACTGCACATGTGCGAAAATCCCTTCCTCATTCTCCCTCTCTCACCCCTCCTTTCGCTGCCCCAGCCCCTGCCCCTATCCGCTGCTCCAAAGTTAAAAAAAACTGGTTCTTTTTTTTTAAAAACTGTTTTTTTTACTGCGCACGTGCAAAGATCCCTTTCTCATTCTCCCCCACCCCGCCCCTACGTATAGCGCATGTGCGCTAATTACAAAAATTTACCCACGTGGTGCCATTGCTCACACCACCAGCAGCAGCAGCAACAGCCGAGCCAGCCAGCCAGCCAGCTGTCTGTCCCTGCCTTCTGCCGCCCTGCTGAGTGAGGGCAAGCCGCAAGCACTGGTCTCCACTGCCGCTAACTGTCCTCGCCCGGCTGGCATGCCTTGCCCTTCCTGCCTCTCGCTGCCACCACTAACCATCCTTGCCCGCCCAGACTGCCTACCCCACCGCTGGCCTCCGAAGACGCGGATTGGTAAGTACAATCTTCCAACCCGGTCGTCTATCTACCGCCGCCATCCCAGTCACCTGCTCCCATCTTTCCTCGCCCACAGACCTCCATTGTTGCTGCCTTGCCTTCCCACCACCGTTTGGTAGTGAGGAGACAAAG